CATTTCACAAGAGGTGTATCATAAGTCGAGATGTATTTTTTATGAGATGGATTTCAAGAAATCTGATGACATTGGTCAAAGTTCGAAGATTTCTGAAGAAGATCTTGAACAGGCACTACTAGAAAAACTGGGATTAGCGTCGGATGAAAGCGGGTGTTAAAAGCCAAAAAACCGACGCTAATAAAGGTTTAGCGTCAGGGACGGGTCTTGGATAAAAGGTGGGAGCTAGTGCATAACGTCAAATTAATTTTAATCGAGGCTACTAGCCTCGGCTAAACTAAGTCTACGCAGACGCTAAAAGCACCCGATGCTATATTTGAAAAGTCAATGAATATGCCTAGTGTTGCTTCCACTAACTCTAACAATTATGAATTGCGTCGGCCCTAGTGACTCTAATGTCAATTAAGAAAAGTCAACATATTCGGTTAGCATTGGTGTGGCCGACTCTAAAGTCAACTAAAAAAAAGTTAACATATTCAGTTAGCATCGGCTTGGCCGACTCTAAAGTCAGTCAGGAAAAGTCAACAAATGATTTTAGCATCGGTGTAGCCGACTCTAAATTCAACCAAGGAAGATCTTTATATTTCATTAGCATCAGTGTGATTAATATATTATGATAGGGAGCACTGCAGCTCAATTCAAACTAAGCCATACCCCCTAACAAATAACACTTGTCTGAAAAATACAACCAACAAAATCAAGCAACAATAATTGATATAAAGCCTCCTCAATTGAACAAAAATATCATACAACACGATAATTTAAATATACAAAAAAAGGATATTCAATTATCTAAAACATTCATGTTATAATGCACTCACTCTGCTGTAAAATCACTTGATGAGACATAAAATTAAACTAATTTGATAACATCTTCAAGGCAATAGAAGAAATGAGATATATTAATTTCTCTTGGCCGACATAGATAGCTTCTGCTGATCCACCATGTGTTTCCATCACAATCAACATGTATAACTTCTTAATTGGCATTTGAGGATAACATTGAGCATACAATTGGAGTTAGAATAAGTACAAATATTTGTTCTTAGACAACCACTAGTTTCTAGTATGAAATATTGTGCACAACTATAGCTAGTCAGCAAACACTTTAAATTGTGACTAAAAACATATTATGCTAGAAATATAAAGTTGAGCATACCAAATTGGAAAAAAGAAAAAATTACAACAAAGAAATGCTTTTTCTTGTAAAGTTATTGGAATTTCCTTGTTTTGCAAATAAGGCCAAACTATCACAAAAGATAAAATAAAAGAGTAATGATACATACATTACCCAATGCCTCTGCAGCAGATTCCTGTTGAGGTGGAACATAGTGATGTTGAATTGCATGACCTAAATAAAGTCGAAGAAGAAACATAAGCTGTTGTCGAAGGTGAGAAGACTAATAATGACTACCTGTTGGCAAGAGACAGGTCGAGAAGAGTCGTCAAGCCACCTCAGAGACTTGGTTATGCAGATCTCATAGCTTATGCCTTAATTTCTGCAAGTGAGGTCCTTGATGAAGAACCTAGAGATTATAAGGAAGTTGTGAGGATTCGAGACAAGACTGAATGACTGAAAGCCATGGATTATGAGATGAAGTCTCTTCATGATAATTACACTTGGGAGCTGATTGAGAAATCTGCATGGGTCTGGTTAGTTAGTTATAAGTGGATTTTTAAGGTTAAAGAATGAATGAATGAGTGATGTCGAAGCGCTTTAAGGTAAGGTTGGTTGCTAAAGGGTTCACTCAGAAAGAAGGTGTTGACTTCAATGATGTGTTTTCACTTGTTGTAAAAAAGCATAAATCTATTAGAATGTTGTTAGCATGGTGGCAAAGTTCAACCTAGAACTTGAAGTAATGGATGTGAAGACAACCTTCCTATATGGTGATCTAGCTGAAATGATCCTGATGAGGTAACCTAAAAGGTATGTAGAAAAGGGAAAGGAAGATTATGTGTGCAAGCTGAATAGGTATTTGTATGGTCTGAAACAATCTCCTCGACAATGGAATATGAGATTCGACAAGTTCATGGCACACATTGGTTTCACTAGGAGTCAGTTTGACAATTGTGTTTACTTTAGATTTCGACCTAGAAATTCACTTGTTATTTTGTTGGTTTATGTGGATGCTATCCTCATAGCAAGCAACAATGTCAAAGATGTTATGAAGGTAAATGATGAACTCGATAAGGAGTTCGACATGAATGATTTGGGAGTTGCCTTCAGAATTATTGGGATTGACATCCGGAGGGATAGAAAGTCGTCGAGATTATGCTTATCTCAAGAGACATACCTGAAGAAGATTCTCAAGAAGTTTGGTATGTCGAATTTAAAGCCTGTTCTAACACCGATTAATTCTCAGTACAAGCTGAGTACGACTCAAATTCCTAGTACTGAAGTCGAAAGAGCCTATATGACTAGCATCACATATGCTAGTATAATGGGTTCTTTGATGTATGCTATGGTCTATACGAGGCCAGACGTAACATATGGAATGAGCCTTGTAAGCAGGTATAAGACCAATTTTGGGAAGGCACACTAATAAGTATTAAAGTGGATTCCTAGGTACATCAATGTGTCTCTGAGAAGAGTCCTGATTTATGATGGAACTTGTGGTGATGATAACAAAGTCAAAATCGAAGGATTTATTAACTCTGGTTATGCAAGTTGTATGGATTCTAGAAAATCTATTTCTGGATATATGTTCTTTATGTTCGGTACATCAATCAATTGGAAAGCGACAATTCAGAAGGTTGTTGCCTTATCAATCACTGAAGCAGAATATACTGCTCTAACTGAAGTTGTGAAAGAAACATTGCGGCTTGAAGGTTTTTCTATGGAGCTGAAACTTTAAGGTCGAGTTATCATTGTTAAATGTGATAATCGAAGTGCAATATACCTCTCAAAGAATTCAACCTATCATGAGCAAACCAAGCACATCGGTGTGAGGCTGCATTTCGTCAGAGAGATAGTCGAGCATGGAGAAGTCCAAGTATTGAAGGTTTCAACTGATGGCAATGTTGCTGATATGATGACCAACATATTGCCAAGTAGCAAGTTTTTCCACTATATGTAGTTGATAAAGTTGTATGATGAAAGCTAGTATGTTCCCTTGTTTTGTGTAGAGTTTGTTCCAAGGTGGAGATTTGTGGTATTTTGGACCGAACTCTAGTGTCGACAATGGTAGTTTCATGGTTCGACAGAAGGTTTAGTAAGAAGTCGAAGTCTATTCACATACTAATCTTGTATGCTGTAGTTGAAGTATGCTCAAGCATACAGTAGTCGAAATGCTAGAATTGTTAGCATGTCGAATCGGGCCTTACTTGTAAGCCCAATTGTTAAGTTAACTTGGTAGTCTATAAAGAGACTACTTCTCTCAGTTGTTGAGAAAAAAGTTAATTGTTGGTATTCACTTGTAATCTTTGAACCTTTATTGAGAAAGTGAATAGTAAAAAAGATTTAATCAATTCTATATTATTCTTCCTTCTTCTCTTTTCCTTTGTGAAACCTAATAGGGTTTCTTGTGTTTGTTCAAGAAATTCATTCTTTTTTCTCATAACTCTGTTCTGTTATTGACGACATCAATTCACAAAAAGTTGAAAATCGATGGGTAAAGTATTTTGAGGACATTCTTTCGAATCCCAACAACTATATTTTATCACCTTTTATTTTTTTTGTTTAAATTTTGTTATCACTTATTATCTGCGATTTGCTAGAAACCGAGAGGTAAAATAGTGTATTTTTTATTTATTTTTTATTTATGACAAATTTAATGAAAAAATTAAGTAGTGAGTCTTTTCCGTCCATTTATCAAGTAACAATGGTCAAGACACTTCCATTTATCAAGTAACAATGGTCAAGACACTTCCATCTTATCAAAACGTGAATGTCACAACTATCTATCTTTGATGCAAAGTGCTGAAATTTAAACTTAACATATTGAAAACAATGATAATGAAAACAAGAGAATGCTGCCTTCTTACTGTAATCTTTTATCTAGAAGAGTGTGAAAGTAACTTATTAATGTTATTTGTTGTTGTATCAAGTAAAATGTATAATATTGTTGTTGTTGTTGAAATTTAATAATTAACGATTATATTGATTTTTGTTTATTTATTGTTGTTGTTGTTGTTGTTGTTGAGATTTAACGTTTAAAGATTATATGGATTTTGTTGTTGTTTTTATTGTTGTTGTTGTTGTTGTTGTTATTGTTGTTGTTGTTTTTACTGTTGAATTTTGGTGTTTAAGGATTATATTGATTTTGTTTTTATCGGTGTTGTTGTTGATGATGATGAGAAAGATTTATAATATTTGCCAACAAATTTGATGCTTTGTAGATTAAAATAAAAATAAAAACAAATTAAAACAAAATTTTTGTAAACAGAACTTAATCCTTTGGTTATTGTTCAAAACCGAGATAAAAAGTAGTGCGCAATGCAGTTGCCGAGGAATGAACTCATGATCAATAATTCTTTTTTCCTCGTATTTTAAAAAACCGATGAACAAAGTGGAAAATTTTTATGTCATCCTTCTTTACCTCACTTATGTTATATCTCTTTCATATTTGAGATAAAATAAAATTATTTATAGTAGTATTTTTTTTCCTACTTTTTTTTTTATTATTTCGAAGTGAGATAAATATTTCTGATAAAGAATAGAATATACTCTCTATATTTTTGTTATCAATGTTGTAAGGATTACATATTAGTATATATTAAAAATCTTATTCTTTTTCACATCAAATTTTTATTAATTTGAAAATGTTAAACAAAATATCCTAGAAGCCTATACTAATAAACTTTTCTTTTTCTTTTTCAAAAGTAAAATGATATTTTTCCAAAAAGGAAAGTAGAATAAGTGTGCATTACTTATTATAATCCATAGGTCCCACCTGTTCACATTATTCTATCATAAATAGCACTCATTGGCATGAGCCTATCTGTCAGACACATCTCTAGTAAAGCATTTTATTTCTCTTTTTGACATTCAATTGGCAAATATGGTCTCTCTAAGGCCATTCTTTCTTTTTCTTCTCACCTGCTTTCAAATTCATCAAGCATTTTCCAATGATCGCAAGGCAAATATATATTTCACCAGTTATTTTTCTTTTTTCTTTTTTTGTTCTAGCTCATTTTTTATTATAACAGTTCTATCCTTTCAAGCAACCATTGCTTTTAGTTACATATTTTTCACATATGGTCCTTTATTTTTATTAACAAATTTTTAGAGGTTAATTTGTTTGAATATATATATATATATATATATATATATATATATATATATATATATATATATATATATATATATATATATATATATATATATGTATGTATATATATGCAAAACTACCCATATTGTTTTTTCGATTGCTACATTTCAATTTTTCATTATCTACTGTACGACACTAAAGAAATTGCTCAAAAAATTATACTCTTTTTTTGGGAATGCAGACTTACATTGTCTACATGGGTGATCATCCCAAGGGAATTGATCCAGCCACTTTACCTTCTCTTCATTCTACAATGGCACAAAATGTCCTTGGCAGGTTCAAATTAAATTTAATACTAGCAGTTAACTCAATCAAATAGTGCAACAATGTGATTACAATTTTTTTAATAGTATTAAAATTTGGATCTATGCAGTGACTTTGAACCAGGAGCTGTACTTCACAGCTACAAGAAGAGCTTTAATGGATTCGTCGTAAAATTGACAGAAGATGAAGCAGAAACATTGGCAGGTAAAGTTAATTGAATTTTATAATTATGTTAATATCATATAGAATATATAAATTAAACATATATTAATATATATTTTTGGTATTGCAATAGAAATGGACAATGTGGTGTCAGTTTTTCCAAACAGAAAGCATTATCCTAGCACAACAAAATCGTGGGACTTCATAGGCTTCCCACAAAATAGCAAAAGACTGAGTTTGGAGAGTGACATAATTGTTGGAGTAATAGACTCTGGAATTTGGCCGAAGTCAAAGAGCTTTAGTGATGAAGGATTTGGTCCACCACCAAAAAAATGGAAGGGATCATGCCACAACTTCACTTGCAACAAGTATTTAATCACTCAGTTTTCGTTATTTTTTGTTTTCACTTAAAATATTATGATACTATAAGATAATGATGATGATACACATTTTGTGTAGTAAAATAATTGGTGCACAATACTTTAATATCAAAGGTTCCTATGGCAAAAAAGACATCAAAGATCCAACAGATGTAAATGGTCATGGGACACATTGTGCATCCACGGTTGCTGGAAACGTGGTTAATCCTGTGAGCCTACAAGGCTATGCGTCAGGAACCGCGCGCGGAGGAGTTCCCTCAGCACGCATTGCTGTGTACAAAGTATGTTGGGAAACAGGTTGTGATGACGCTGCTATCTTGGCAGCATTTGATGAGGCAATCGCGGATGGAGTTGATGTTATATCTGTTTCTCTTGGATCAAATCAAGTTGTAGTAGTTCCATATTTTCAAAATTCAATCGACATTGGAAGTTTCCATGCAATGAAAAGAGGCATATTTACGTCGAATGCTGCTAATAATCTTGGCCCAAATCTTTTCACCATGACAAATTTTGCACCTTGGTTACTTTCTGTTGCTGCTAGCACTTTTGGTAGAAAGTTTGTTACAAAGGTGCAATTGGGAAATGGTGCCATTTATGAGGTATGGTCATGTCATAGTTCTTAATTTGAAAAACTAAGGGTTATCTTTATTTTGATTAATCTTGACATGAATGGAGGGCTCTTTTCAGGGAGCCACAATTAACACATTTGATCTCAAAAGAAAAATGTATCCAATTGTTTTCGCAAGAGACATACCAAATACTGCTGGCGGATTCAACAGTTCTGCATCCAGGTATCATCCATATATGCAACTATATGCATTCTTATGATTATTCTTAAAATAATATTTTGGTTGGATTTAAATTTCATATAAATATTATTGCCTAGGTTATGCTCCAAAGACTCCGTAGACAAACAAGCTGTAAAGGGAAAGATAGTCTTATGCGAGGGCCTTGTGTCTGCTACAGTTATAGGGTTTTTCTCAGGAGCAGTTGGTGTAATATTCGGAGGTACTTCTGCACAAGATGCACCATTTATATTTGCATTGCCTACAACATTGCTGAGTCTGTGGAATTTTCGAGAAATACAATACTACATGAAATCAACAAGGTATTACTTTAATTTAAGCAAGGTTCAGCATTTATATTTACGCAAGCCAAAATTAATATTTGAATACTGTATTATGAATATATTGATATTTGAAGTTTATTCAACTCAATGTTCTCCATTCATTTATCATTTTACCTTTTAACAGAAATCCAACTGCCACAATATTTAAGAGTGAAGAAGTTGAAGATTCGTTGTCCCCTTTTATAGCTTCGTTTTCATCAAGAGGTCCAAATCCACTTACACTGAATACTCTCAAGGTAACATAAAAAGATATATATTATATAATTTATGCCATTTTTTTGCCTTCAACGTGTAAAATACTAACTAGCTACAATTATGTATTGATGTTGCAGCCTGATATTGCCGCACCCGGGGTTAGCGTTTTAGCTGCATGGACTCCACTCGACCCAATTTCAGAATTTGAAAACGACAATAGAATATTGCCATATCAAATTCTCTCTGGAACTTCAATGGCATGCCCTCATGCAGCTGGAGCAGCTGCATACGTTAAATCATTTCATCCCAAATGGTCTCCTGCCATGATCAAGTCCGCCTTGATGACCACTGGTAAATGACTCAAACACATACGATCAAAAAGTTCCTTTTAACTGTATATAATATTATATATGATCAAATCATTTTAAACTAAATCATTTCAAATTAACAGCTACTCCAATGAACTCTGATATAAGTACTGAAGCTGAATTGGCATATGGCGCGGGGCTTATTAATCCTGTTAAGGCAACAAATCCAGGGCTAGTATATGATATTAGCGAAGCAGATTATGCCGAGTTTTTGTGTGGAGAAGGATATACATCAAAAGAACTACGAATTCTTACTCAAGATAAGAGTAATTGCAAGGGAAAAGATAATGAGAAAGCTGTATACAGCTTGAATCTGCCATCATTTGCACTTTACGTAAACGGAACATTTTTCGGATATGTTTACCATAGAACCGTTACAAATGTGGGATCAGCAAAATCTAGTTATAAAGCAAGAGTAATATCTTCACCTTTGTTGGAAATTCAAGTGAAACCTGATGTTCTATCTTTCACATCAATAGGGCAGAAAAAATCGTTCTCGCTCACAATTGAAGGGAGAACCAATGTGGAATTAATGTCTTCTACTTTGATTTGGGATGACGGCAATCACCAAGTTAGAAGTCCAGTTGTAGTATTTGGGGAAGGAAGCGAAGCGTGATTTCCCTCTTAGCCTAAATGTGTCTAAATGCATGTGAATAATGGTTAAGTGAATAATGTTGTCACACTATGGCACTTTAAAAGTTTGAATGATGTGTAAGTTACTTGTATGTATTATTTTGGCTTATAGTTAATATGAGCTTGTGTGGTGAGCATGTCTTTAATAAATTAAAGTTGAAAAATTCCAAGTTGCACTATATTGTTATTCTTAAAGACTTTTTGTGATTGATTAAGTGAATGCTCTAAAATTGAAAAAGAAAAATGGGTTATTATGTTTGGTTTAGTCTATGATTGAATGAAAGGAAGACATAGAAAGACAGGGCAAGGTGTTATAATAATATTGAAATTAGAATATACCTCCGTAGGGCTGGCAATGAACCAAACCAACTCGAAGATAGTTCGAAATTCGACTCGACAATTAAATCGTTGAACTAGGTTCATGAACCAAATGAGTTGAGTATGAGCGAAAAATTAAGTTCGTTAACTAAATGAGCTGAACTTGAACTATACATAGTTCGACTCGTTAGGTTCATGAGTCAACTCGATTACATATGAAAAGAATTATATTGTCCTTAAGATTAGGTTTAAATATTTACTTCAAATCTTAGACAAATTTAATCTTCAATTTATTAGTTTTTGAATTAGACTCTCAAATGTATCTCTTGAAAGTTGTGTAGGTTTTGAATTAGTAGATTTCGAAGATAAAGTTAAATTTCAATATGATAACGTTTATTTTATTTTAATATTTTATTTAAAAATATATATATTTATTTAAAATGTCAAATATACTAAAAAATATATATATTTAAAAAAATAGTTTTTAAGTTCGTGAACCATGTGAGCTGAACCTAATGAGATGAACCTAACGAGTCGAACCGAACTGTTCGTGAACTTATAACGAGTCGAGTTTGAGCTTAAAAAAAAGTTCGTGTCGAACTCGAACTCGAACTCGAATTCGAACAATTCTTAACGAGTCGAGCCGAGCTGAGGTGAGTTCGACTCGACTCGACTCATTTCCAGCCCTAACCTCCGTAAGTGGAAGAGTACTTGTAGCAGTTTTTGGTGTGTTCAACTTCAAACACTGTCCTACTTGCCCTCACCACTTTGAGACAAAAAGCAAAACAACAAAAAGTATTAATTGTTCTCCTGTTGGATTCCACTTTGAGCTCACCATTTCTCTTGGATCATTCAATTACTATATCTTGCTATGATCTTCTCGTGGAAAAATAATATGGGATTCTTAATTTACACATATATACACCACATCGCTTAAATAAAAAAGAAAATAGAAATTGCAAACGATATTATATATATATATATATATATATATATGAGAAATAATATTCTTATATCACACTCTTATATTATACTGTATTTTACTGTTCACAAATACAGTAAAATATTATACTAATTAATAAATATATATTTTTTAGATTATAGAGTACCGATTTAAAATAGGGTGATTAATAAATTTAACAATTTCATTAACCAACATTTTATATTTTATTAATCAACTTTATTTTACTATATCTTAAAAATTATTTTTGATATGTGAGCGTTTATTAGCCAATTTCATAACTTTATTGACCAACATTTTACTTTTTATTAATCAACTTTGTTTTACTACTAAAAACAATTTTTAATATTTAAGCGTTTATTAACCAATTTTATCACTTTATTAATAAACTTTTTATTTTTCATTAACCAACTTTTTTTTATTAAAAATTAATTTTATTATCTAGCCTTTTATTAACCAACTTCATCATTTTATTAAACATCTTTTTATATTTATTAACCGATTTTATTTTATTATTAAAAGTCATTGTTCATGCACAGTTCACGAGCATTGTTCACGTATATGTCATTGTTTACGGTCATTGTTTATATCATTATTCTCGTCATTGTTCATAAATATATTTTGTAAAAATATGATGTAATCCAAAAGATATCTGATGTAAAAAAACAAACAAAGATAAATAACAAAACTAAACTGATCTTACATGTGGTCAGAAGTAAATTGGTGGCCAGCAACACGTCGTGGACTCAAACGTCAGGTGAGGAAAAATGGGGGTGTACATATAAGGCATCTGATGCTAAAGTCAGTTCAGAGTGAAAGAAGGCCAGTACCGAGGTTAGAAAGTGAAAAGTCAGCCTACCTGATCCTCTTTTAGATGAGGATATTTATAATGCCCTCAGCGCTATGCCAAAGGTCTCCGTTATGAGCAGGATTTTCAAGCCCAAATGAATGATTGCCAGGATTCCTACGTGAAATTAGGGATGACCAGCTCGTGACATTATCCTGGGTCAACTGCCCTGCAATCTTCTGATAGTGGGTGGACTTGCCCGTCACGAATGGCGAAAATGCTCCACGAAGTGCGTGGATCAATTGATGACGAGTCCTCGAGTGAGGAGCACATGGTGAACGTGGTTTACAACGGTCCCAATGGATTGGGACAACATTTGGGCCGTCCTCGATATTGCATTGGATTAAGCCATGCCCGATAGTGGGCCAACCACAGGCCCAGTCCAGAACAGAAGCCCCTAAATTGTTGTTCTTAGGAAAAGAAGCAATGGCTTAGAGTCAAGTCATGTGTCGAGGTGGAAAGGGTTCCGCGCGAGTGCAACTTTCATTCGAGCGGGCAGTCACGAGCTCGCGTCGTCATAGACGGCGTTCGCTATGGGAGTCTCTAGCTCGTGGTTTTGAATACCCGAGGACGTGGCTACGCTCGTAAGTTTGCTTCAAGTTTCCCCTGAGGACATGCTCGTGAGGAACTTTGGAAGTTGTAGGTTGTGCTCGACGACTTAAATTAGCTTCAATTTGTTACTTGTGATCGACGTCGTAATTCGCTTCCCGTTTTTCCTCGAGGTTATGCTCGTGTATGTGATTAATTTTGCTTTTGCTTTTGTTTGCAGGTATTTTATTTGCCTGTGTACACACTAGTCTTTTGTTTGCAAATTGTTTTTGTTATGTGTATGGTGTCATATCCCAATTTTATCCATCCTTCATATAATTTCGAGTTGCTTTTATTTCGAATAAATGAGATAACACAATTGGTAAGAAGGTATGTGTAATAGGTTTAATCATAAGGTTGCTGATTCAAGTCTCATTGCATGACTTTTCTATTTATTTTCCTTTTTGTGTGTTTTCTTTACAAAAAAAAGGTAAAATAATCATTTTTTTGGATTATTTAATTATTATTTTCGTTTTTTATTTAGGAGTATTTTTCAAATTAATTTTTTATTTTTAAATTTTTATTTTATGCATTAAATAAATAAAAAAATCCAAAAAGAAAGAGGTATTCTTATAGATTACATTATCTCCATATTGAATCTCGCACCCGGTCGCATTCCCTTCCTGATTCATAGTCTTGCTCACCAAGACTTGAATTAGATCTCAATCTCTAAAAATCTAGCATAAAATAGATGGATCAGATTTAATTGTAAATCCTAAAATTCATCTATAAATGAGACATTTTCTTTCATGTAGTGTATTTATCATGAACTTGAGTATTCTTTTTTTCTGAATGATATATGTGTTTTTATTTTAATTTATATATATATATATATATATATATATATATATATATATATATATATATATATATATATATATATATATATATATATATATATATATATATATATATATATATATATATATATATATATATATATATATATATATATATATATATATATATATATATATATATATATATATATATATATATATATATATATATATATATATATATATATATATATATATATATATATATATATATATATATATATATATATATATTATTAATTCTATTTTTATTAGATTATTCAGATTGAACCATGTCGATACTCTGTTTGTATATTGGCGTGCACGATGCGTGACATTTGCGGTGGTTCGATCCGGTTGTGATGATCGCATTTTTGCGTTAGCAACATTATTATTATTATTATTATTATTATTATTATTATTATTATTATTATTATTATTATTATTATTTTTATTATTATTTATTATTATTATTATTATTATTATTATTATTATTATTAACACCTTTTAAAATACCTTTTGCTTTATGTTTTTTTTGATAAATTTGGATCCACATCATTTTTTATCCCTATTGCAATGATCACGTCAAGTGTAGCAAACTAATAGTTGATTTTATTGGTTTATATGTGGTTCTGTATTTGTTTATCATTACGTTTCGATTTTGTACATGCATCTGATAGTTTAGTTGATGTGTGGTGTAAATAATATGTATGCTCTAGTATTTTTGTACTTTTATTGTTAAATGCCTGTAAGTATGTTTATTCGGATCTTATAGCGTTTGACTTACGTCTTATGCTTGAGTTCATTTGAATTCATACGCCTTTGCGATCCAATTCTCACCCTTCGTATTATTATTTGTATCCATCATTTCTCACCATCGATACACAATCATATTAAACCATTTTCAGACTAATTCTCGATCCACCATTGAGCCATTTTGATAACTTGTAAGTCGGTCATTTATGATCGCCATAAAACTTAATTATTAGGTTTACTCATAAACATTTCAGATTTAAACCTCAATCAACATTGAGGGTTTTTCTCAAACAATTTCAATACATCCATTCAAAACATTTATAAAACATTAAGGAAGGGATTTTGAATCTTCAAAATTTTTTCCAACTAATCGCCAATGATATGTTTTGTTAATATACCATTTGTTTCACAAAAGAATCAAATGGAATGAATGTTGAAAAGTAAATAAAAAATTAGATTCTAGTTCTTTGTAATACATGCAAAAGATTTTTCCTCTCAGTTGGACCATTCAACCAAAGGAATAGATAAATTATAATATATAAATAAAAGAGAAAAATGACATATGAAATAAAAATCTGAGATTTTCTCTAGACTAAAACTCTTAACAAAGGGAATAAATTAATTATAAAATAAATAAATAAAAGAAATACGCCAGTTGAAAAAAGTCAAAAATGTAAAATGTGGGTTTTGAGGTT